GGCCAGTCGAAATAGTATCACGTTTTACATTCATTTAAAATTCTGAAATGTACTATTCAACGACTAAATTCACTCTGAAAAATTAGTCAGGTGGTTAAAAATTGAATCACTCCATTGATTAAAATTAAAGTCTTGTAGAATGATCAAAACACACATCTATCGTGTGTCAAGAATAACAATTCCTAGTTTTCACATGCTCATGAAAATGTTTGTTTCATGAATAATTAAATTCTAAGGACAAAAAAATAATGAGGCAGTAAAATCTAACTTAGGGTCCGAGTCTAGGGACCCAAAATGATAAACTTGAGTAGACAAAAAACTTCAGTACTGATGTTTCCTTCGTTTTGTTAGAATGTTCGAGTTCATGTCTTCTCGTCCATGGAAGTAAGTGTATATTTGGTAATTTGTGATCAATTCCAAGTTGTTATTTATAAAAACAATAGGAAAAATGAAGGCCACACGAGAATTGAAAACAGAGAAAGGTAGGGTCAAATGTATCAACAGCCACTGAAATTGGTGGTGAAGATGTAAGTGTCGTTTCAAAGTAGGTTTCTTTTTTTTCCATTTTCTCCCAAATATTCGATTTTGACTAAAATCTAAAACACCCAATCTACTGAAATGATTTTGCGTCGGTCCAATCAACGATCTAGAGATATTTCTGGAGTTCGATAGATTTTTAGACCTTGATTGATCCTTTGCATTTATTAGTTTTTTTTTTAAACCTTTTTTGTCATATGATATATATTACAAAACCATAATTTGCAAATACATTAGGGGCGTATTGGGAGTTGGATTTGATTGATTTCTATAATCAATAGATTCTATTAAATCTTTAAAGAGTTTTGTGTATTTAAAAAGTTTAGTTATAAGAATTTTAAAAATCTAATAGTTTTCCAAAATATTCTTAAAATCTTGTTTAATGAGTAAAATTATAAGAAATTCATCAACCAATAACCCTAGATTCTAGTAGATTTATAAAAATAAAAGGAAAATTTGCTAAATTGACTCAGTTTAAAATTTAAAATGTCCCAATAACCTTACACATATCATTTTGTCTCAATAACTTTTGATATTTTCATAACCCAATTTTAACCCTCAATATTAATAAAAATGAAATTTGTAAAATATTTTCGTAATTGTTTTAAAAAACTGAATATTCAGTTTTTATTTGTTTCCTTGTTT